CTTACCCATTGAGCTGGATTGATAGTTTAGCTGGGTGCTTACGCTGCACACACTCGGTTGCGCGTTGTTCAGTTATGTTCTTTTGTGTTGGTGTGAATTGTGCCGGGCTTGCTGATGCATTGCGAGCAGTGTAGAAGGCTTGCGCTAGGTGAGCCTGAGATGTTAAGTTTCCCACAAAATCTAGGAACCACATCATTGATTTTCTTCAAGGAAGCTCCACCTGCCCTTAGGCGGGAGGAGCTTCCTTGAAGAAGCCTAAGCCCTAGAATGCGTCCAGTAGCTAGTAGCGGCCTACTTAATAGCTTACTAGCTTGAATTGCTCCTACTTACTTCTAGCATTGCTTCGTTAAGCATGAAGCAAAGGCGTCGATTCAGCTGAGCGGCTGATGCTGTCTAAAATGCCTCGCCACAGGAGTGATGGAGTACTGTACTTTTTATAAGCAAACAGTGCCCTTCAAGTGCTTTCAGGTTAGCACAATCCTGTCACTTTTGAGCTACACTCTCTCCCAGCTACACTCTCAGGTATTGCGCTTTCACCTGACGGTTGGAACTGTGCGTTGTGGACCGTGCCTTGCTGAGACGGACCGGGTCAGTTGGGCCAGACTCAACAGTCGGTTTCTGCGTGACTGGCGCATTCACCCATGCTAGAAGTCCTTGAGCCAAGGTCTCTGCCCGCCCGAAAACTGGATGTTTGGTGTTGTTTCTTCTTCTGAACTTGCTCGTTTTCCGAACAGAAAGCAACAAAGACGCACTCTCAGGTTTACCTACGACTATGCAGAGTGCGCAGTCCACGGCTGCGAGGATTTTAACATCGACTGGCTCAAGGAGGTGGGCTGTCTACGGTCGATGAAAGGCTCGGACTTTCATCCGAACGAGTTGGGGGTACCATGGGGTACCCATTTGGATTTGACTAGCATTGACTAGCCTTGACTAGTGCTGTTTGGAAGTTCTGGATCACTGGGAGATCAATCTCATTCAATCTCCTACTGTCAGGGTTTGTTTCTCATCGCCTTATTCGTTGCCCCGGAGTGTGTAGCCTACAAACTGGCTCCTGTTCGTTGCTTCTCTTCTTTGCCGTTCCTGTTCCCTGAATTTCAAACTGTACGGTTAGTAGACCTACGGCCCTTTCTAGATACCCCCTGAAGCTCTTCAGCTGATTCTTGGCCTTCCATGTTTGGTGTCAGGTTGAGCGTTGGCCTCAGCCAACCCATCCATGCGCTTCGTTGCCAAATGACCCACTCCAATTATTCAATAGTCAGGTACCCTCCAACGGTTCTTCACCCGGGCGCCCGTGGCGTCTCCGAAGCCGCAGATCGACGAAGCGTCGGAGTCCCTCCGCGTGGGGGTCGAGATTCTGGACGTCGTCGACCCCGCGGATTGCCGGGTGACCCGAGACGCCGTCCGAGACGACCGGGGGACGAGCACGAGGTGTGGGCGAGTGATCAAGTTGTGCAGCATGGAGATCACGGGGAGGCAAACAAACCTAGTAGCGTCCTTGCTCGTAGTAGCAAGCCCCTAGTAGCGTCCTTGCTCCCAGCATGAATCACAGCCTCCTTAACTGTACACTTCAGCCCAGAGAGCTGCACAAGGGGGATGATATCCTATGAATTGATATCATGGTTTTTGCAGGAAGATATCTGACAACTCTGGGACGAATCTGACCTCTCAAGGTCCGCTGGAGCTCTTCGTTCTTCCATCCAATGGCTCGCACAGGCTTCTTCCAAGATGTCGCAAGAGATACAACCAGATACACAGACCCAGATCGAACATGCAGTGATTCAGAAGCATCTTTCCAGCGAAGCTTTAATTCAAAATTCATCAAAATTCCATGTGGATCCATGTATGTGGCACTTTGCTACATGGCCTCTCTTGCGTGTGCTGTGTGTATGTATGTGTATATATGTGTAAAATGGTGAGCGGAGGATCAACAGCAACTTGTAAAGGCAACTGTCACAACTCAACCAACGGGGATCAAAGAACTCCGTCACGATCAAAAGCAAGCGGTACGCTCACTTTTCCATTGCGCAACCGTCGGGGGCTCGGATGAGCCAGACTCAAGGGCCCTTGTGCCAAAATGGTCACATGAGAGGGCCGCCATCTCATATCATGATATGCATGTTCCAATGCATACAAATTCACACGCCCTCATGGCGGTGCGAAGATGGGACCATGCTGTCAGCGACACTGTTCAGTCACGTAGCTCTCGGCTGAATCCGTACTTCTCCGCAAGACCTTCAAAATCAGGCTTCTTCCATTTCACCTTTTCAAGGTACATGGCAAAGTCCACGGCCTTGGTAATCTTGGATGGCACTTTTCCACCAGTACCATACTTTGACAAAATGAACTGGAGGTACTGACGCATGTCTTCTCCTTTCTTCGAATTCGTGCGGGCCGTCATGATCATTTGATCATACGTGAGGCTTTCAGCCTTCACCTTATCCATACGACAGGTGGTCTGTCCCCATTTCTCTACGGTGCTGATTCCTTCAGGCAAGGGAATCAAGGGATCGGTCACATTGGCCACTGGGAACAAGTTCACCTTTCCAGCTTCATATCCCTTTGGGCTCACAGCAAGGTGCTCCGGTGTCATGGTTGAACCGGTAGGCTCATTGGCATTCAAGAGCTCCCACGGATTCGAGGCCTGAGAGGTCTCATCGGCATCCATGCGTCGCTTCGCAGCATCAGTCATGGCGGACATGGAGGCATCCACGATGACCTGAGCTCCCACAACATTTGGTCGGAGGTCTGGACGAATCTTCACCCAGTCGTTCACACGCTGGAGCAACTGTGCACTTTGTCCGAAACGGACAGCTCGATGGAGAAGGCCGGCACACATGCTAAGATCCTGATCCGTCAGTGGTGACCGGATGTGATATTCTTCATCATCGGTCTTTGCTGCTTTCGACATGATCCTGCGGGACTGAATGGGCGACACTTCACGGTCGTGCGCTCCTTGGAGCAAAAAGGCTGTGCAAAATTCGGTTTAACCGATGCGGCACAAGAAAAATGAGAAAAACAACCAGGACGACTCCTCAGCAACGAACTGGTTCGAGGTGGCTGGCAATGGATGGTTTCTCAACCTAACTAACAAATTCCTTTCAAGTTTCACCAAACGAATGTTGGATTCACTTCACAACATGCATGCATGGGCCCTAGTGCTCATCTAGTTGACGTTTCTCTGCTTCTGCAGCTCTAGCCTTGGCTTTTTCTTTCTTACCTGACTCTACTCCGGTGTGGATGGTGTATTTCCAAGTGTCAACGAGTTTATAGAAAGGTCCTGTGTCGGCTCGTAGTTTAGTCAACACGTCTGCACACATGAAAATGTTACTAGTCCAAAAGACCATGATGTTCTGCAAGGACATGCTTTCCTTAGCGATGGCATAGTCGATCTGAAGTCTCTTCTCTACGCTAATAGTAGGAGAGCTACACGATTTTGTGACTGCATCGAAGAAACCCTTGCTATCAACAACGAGGCATGCTGTCTTTTCTGGGACTCGTTCTCGGAATGTTCGAGGCGATTGGCCTTCTAGGATCTCAGCAAGCAGGGATTGAATCCACTCAATCGCATCAAGTCCATTCTGACCGGACATGGTTTCTGCTGCTACTGAGGAACGAACTACTCGTCGTAACTTCTTAGAACTCCAATCTACTATCCATACAGGGGATTCCTTGTTCTTCATGATGTCTTTGGTCGTAAGACATAGGATGTATCCACCTTGACTTTCACCGTTAGCTCTAGTACACCAGCCAGCATCAGCAATACACACGATGTGCCAATCTTTTACTGGAACGTGGCTAGGGAATTTCAAACAGATTTTTCTGGTTTTCATCTCCCTCACGGCTTTGTTGTACAAGTGGACGTGTTCAACTTTCCCCTTATCCTGAACCCCTTGAAGATACGAAGCCAGGAATGCCTGTTCCGGACGTGTCGAATTCGACACCCAGGCTAACTGACCGGCGCAAGTTCTAAGGATAGAAGGATCTGTAAGGGACGTTGAAGCGTTTCCCAAGGTCTTCGTTTCAACATGTTCCAAATTCTCGATGTAATTTTCTTGTCCTACTTCAATTTCCATCGTATTTGGATTTTGTCGAATCTCTACTCCTGTATATCTTATTGTGAAAGTACGATAGTCACCGAACGGCAATTTCTTTCGGAGTCGGTCCAAGGCTTGGTCCATTTCCTTGCAACCTCCACCTAGTAGGTCATCTACGTGTACTCCACATATGCCTTTCAAAGTGTTATCGGACTTACTCCTCAACATAAACAAACATGGATCCAACTGGCTCTGGGTTAGCCCTGCTTCCTTAAGTTCCCTGGTCAGGCGGGAAAACCAAGCACGTGGTGCCTCAGCCAGGCCGTAGGCAGCCTTCTCAAGACGAAACAGGTCATCTGTACTCAAGTTCATCCATTGTTTGATTTCTGCTGGAGGTCGAAAGTAAATGTTTCTGCAAGATTCATCACCTGACAAAAACGCTGTTTTTATGTCGGCTCCCCATAGCTTCCACTTGGATGCTGAACAAATGGATAGAACAAGGTGCTTTGTTTCCTTACGCAAAGTTGGACTGTCTGTTGCTACCTTTCCTAGGTCCGGGTCCTGCCATCCTACCAAAACTAGACGTGCTTTCGGAGTTTTGGATGTGATATCAGGATCGGATGACTTTTTCCATACCAAGACCCACCTTGCTCTAATTATTCTTTCTGTAGGAATCCCTCTAGCCTTGCAAAGTGAAGTCACCTTATTGTCAATCCAGCTTTGCCATTCCTTTTGCATAGCTTGGAGAAACAGTTTCTTGTCGTGTGGATTGAGTTTGCGGAACTGGACTTCAACCCTTCTTTGCTTCGCCTTGGACTGCGGCGCAGCTTGCAAGCATTCTTCAGAAAGATTCCAGAGACACAGAGGATTCTCAGTGATGTCTTCGGGATGGACGTCAATGGAAAGTTCGAACACATGTTCTGCCTGTTGCAATCTGGCTGTTACCGCTAGTTCGTCTTCGCCAGCTTCTGGAACGGGAACATCTATGCCAGATGGTTCGATCTCGTTCGATCGTGAGTCTACTTCAGGCATTACTTCATCGGTGTTATCGGGTCTATCGGATTCGGGCGGATTAGTGTCTGTCTCTGGTTCCAGGTGTGCAGGTACAGCACCTGGGTCAGGCATGAGCTCATCAAGCTCGTTGTGCATTTGAAAGCCTGACTGAGATCCCTCTTCTTCAAGAGGAACTGGCGGTTCGGTGGGTGCATAACTTGGAGATGAATCAATTTCAACAACCCTTCTACGTTTATCGGCTGGCTCAAGTCTATCCTCGGGGATCTCTTCAGGAGCAACAGCGGCAAATGGCTGCTGATTCAACTCTTGTTCATGCATACTGCCGAGAGGTGGAATCTCGCCTCGTGATCTCTTTTGCCAATATTCAGGGGAACGATAGAATCTACGTCTTATCTTATGTGGTCTACCCTCCGAATCAGGTCTGTCATCGATGGTCTCAGGATGAGGTTCGGCTTCTACATCTTCCTTGAGTTCGAAGTCCTCTGGACCAGGGATGTCCTTTGTGAGATCATGAAAACGAGCGACGCCCTCCGACAATGATTTACCTGCAGCTTCCGTTTCCGGTGCCAGCTGGCCTAATGCAAGTTCTCTTGCAAGCGCTCGAAACTCAGTTTCGTCTTCGGACATTGGACGGAGGCCTTCTGGTCGACATCTATAGAGATAGCCATTATAGCTTGTCCAAACTAGGCGTGGTATGGGACTATTTGATGAACTTTCTACCCCAATTACTTTGGCAGGTCCTAACCACTTACCATGTCTTGTGCTAAGCTGACCTCTTCCTGCTGCTCGAAACATGTATACAAGTTGACCTTGTACGTATGGTCCTCGCATGGGACGATGTCTATAGGCTACAGCTCTTCGCCAAACATCCTTCGCATGTTCTTCATGAAAGGCCTTGGCCGCTTCTTCACGAAGGCGAATCTTGGATGCAAACGATGGATCTGACAGGATTTGCGACTGGGCAGCAAAATTTCTTTGCTCATCCAAGTCGGCAAGCATTCCCACATGGCGTGAGTCCCTTCCCAAGAACCATTGTGCTGGGCTGAAACCATGCTTTCGAAGTTGTTCATTACGGGTTGTTGCACACATTTCTATTACCTCTTCTGGTGGACGGTCAGTGCCTGGCCAACAACGATTGGCCATGTTCCTGAGAATGCGATTGGCAATTTCAACTTGACCTAGCTGATAGTGTGCTTCGGCAGCCGCATGCAACAACTGAATGCCATGGTGTGTTAGGTACTCTTGGAAATCCTGGGAGAGATTAGTCTTGGCAGGGTCCATGAATATTATCTTAGGAGTGCCGTAGGGACGTGTCCACACCTTATGGAAAGCTACTGACAGCTGATTGGGACCGGGTTCAACGATGATCTGTTGTGCGAAACCTGTGGCCATGTCAACACATGTCAACACGTTGAACTTGACTTCGGTCATTTTCCCATTACGTCCCTCTCTCTTGAGTTCTACTTGAACAAAATCAATACCCACTATGTCATTCGGGTTCTCTGCATGGGGGATTGCACTCTTACGATATGACGGTGGAGGCTTGAGTTCATTACAAATGGGACACTGGAAGTTCCGAATGCAGTCCACAATTTCTTGACTGGCTTGGCAACGGTTCGCGAGCCTCAACATTTGTTCTGTCGATGCATGACCTGTGTTCACATGCAATTTACGAACCAATGCGGACACTCGCAGCTGCTTGGGATTCAAACTTCGGCTGTTCGAATTTGGCTCGTCATGGTCTGGCAGTCTCTCTGATCGATCTTCTATCTCTTCTTCTAGTTGATCTTCTTCTTCATCTTGAGCTAAGATCTCTACTGCATCTGGACCCGAATGTCCATGGAGACTTTTGGCAAGACCATCGGCCATGACACGTGCAAACTTATTAGGATATGTCTCGGCCCAGGATGTCAGATTTCTACCTTTGTAGTTTCCTTCTAGGTGATCATGACCATGCTTATGATCGCACCGAAATGGGACAAGGTGCTGCATCAAAGACTCCTGAGTGCTGACAATCCGAGTTGGCTTCAAGACAGGGATGTTGGATTTGGGGCTACGGAGCCCGAGTGCACATTGGTCAATTCGGATTGACCAGGCTGGTCCAAGCACTAACTCCTGCCACATATCGGACGAGTGCGGATTCTCAGCATGTACATGACCTCCAAGGATGGTTTGGAGATGCCATGTTTCCGAAACACATTGCAGATGTCTTCTAGCTTGATGTCTCTTTTTCAATACTTCTTGTTTCCTAGACTCGGAAAATGCCATATTGAACCTCGACCAGGGACCCCAGCACTTACATGGGGGAGCAAACCAAATGTGATCAGGCTTTGTCAAGGCTACCAGGTATAGGAGATTTCGTCTATCCCTCAACCTACCAAGATCATGTCCATAATCTATCCCAATTTGGATTGCTGTTTTCTGGTTTCTCTTTTCGTACTGTTTGGACAAATTGGCTGTTCCTGTGAAAACTTCTATGAGTCCAACCTTGGAGTCAAGTTTACTAGCCTGGTTGCCCAACCAGTGGCGAAGTTCTGAAAGCACTTCCTGCCGATTGCTCTGCAGTCGCGACAAAGCCATGCGTACACCGACACGGCGTGCAGCTGTGATTGCGTCTTTCAGTTTCGTTGGGGTTTCTTTTGGAACATCCTGCAAGTCAAGATCTACCCAGTCAACCTCTTCATACAAAGTTTCGAGGGTGTTTGATTGCATGGTGTATTCCCAATCCCCTTCTATGTCATCATTACAACAACAATCACATTGGTGCGCTGATGGCGTCGGCTCTGCTGGTTCGACACGATCGGACTCACTGCCGGCACTCTCAGGTTCAGAGGGTGCTTGCTCGGATCGAAATGCAAAGATCGCAACCTGCATTGGGTTGACAGGTCTTCTGACCCGTCCGGCTGGACGAACGATCCATCCTGACATGAGCATGTTTCCATCTTTATCCATAGAGACTACATTCATATCAAGTGAAGTTCGTTCGGCTTCGGCAGGAATCCTTTCTAGTCTAGGTTTATATGCTACATAGGCATGCACCACCGGGTGTTCGGGACATGAAAACAATTGGGACAGCTCGGCACGAAAAGCACTGCAATCGACGTTTCCTCGTTTGGTATGTTTACACACAGTTTGAAACGCCCTCCGAGTATCACGCGGGGTTGGCTCCATTTTTGGTGCACTTAAAACACTGTTTTTGTTCGTGTCCTGTCCTCTGAGTTCTTGGTGGTGCTCGAGATCAACGGAGATGGACTGGCGGTCCATCGCTTGGGCTTCATGCGGATTGGGCTCATTTGTATTCGAGTCGTTGAGGACTGTCTCCCACTCAGCAACCTGTGGCACCAGAGACAACAGCAGATGGCCATTTGCGGCCTGTTTCAGGGGTACATCTTGCATACCATGTTTTGGACTCGTGATGGTCATTCGGCCCAAGTCCAGTGTGGCCTGCATACCCTCCAACACCCTTCGTGACAGCAGGAATGGCGCGCTTCCAGGAACAACATATGTTGTGATATTCCCTTTCAACGAACCCAGCTGTACTGTCCACTTCAAACCAACAGCTGTTGTTTCGCTCTGACCATTGAAGCCGCGAAGCTCAACTGTAGGCATAGTGACACGCACGGGTGGAGGAAAATTGCATTGTCTGAAAACCTGCTCATATCTCTGTGCCGTTTCCTCGCCAACAACGGATGTTGTACAACCAGTATCAATGATTGCAAAACCTGATGGAATGAGGCCAGGAGAATTTCCAGTTCAGCAGCGGTGGACTCGGTCAGGGCATAGTTGAACTCGGTCAATGTCCTGTCAACAATTTCCACAGCTTCTGTCAGGTTGGCGTCCTCACGCCTCGGTGGTTTCTTCTTTGGGTCCTTTTGTGGCGACTTCTTGTCAAAGGACCTTTTCTCATAGCGTGGTGTTTTGGACGATGCAGCCTGAGTTCCCAGTGGAGCCTGGGACAGGCCGCCTTCGGTGGGTGGAATGGCCACCACCGGCATGTATGGTTGTCGTGCTCTTTTGATTTCCCTCACCTTCTTCTTTGACTCCTTGTAGGTGCGAAACTGTTTCTTGAATTCTTTCTTTGCTTTCTTCTGAATCTCATAGATCTCCTGCAGCTCTTCCTCAGAACCTGAACCCAGAGATGTTTCGCCACCCTCAACTTGGTAGGCCTCTTCACCAGACCCGGAGTCAGAAAGTGGGTCGACGGAGGTGGATGAAGCTTCAGCAACTTGTTCAACAGCATAGGCTTCGCGTCGTGGTCTCACCTGTCGACGATCGTCCAGCCGTGGTCGCCGGTCATCCAATCTCTCCTCATAGTCACTAGCGCGCAAAATCTTCTCAATGTCAACAAATCGACTGGAGCCGCCTGTTGAACGAATGATGTGGCTGCGTTGCTCACGCGACAAACCAAACTTTCTCATGAACAAGTGTCCCAAAACTGACTGTGGAAAAATCGGTTTTGGCTTTGTATGCGACTGCTCCAACGTTCCAAGAAGACGTTGCATACGGAGATGATCTTTTCGCTGGTCACCTTTCTGAGTCCCAGTGGACTTCCCCTGTGAAGCCTTTGAGCTCGACTTCGCACTTCGGACCGATGGAGTGGATCCGGTCCGACGATGAGGATCAAGGGGAGGATCAAAAGGACCTGGAGGAGGTGCTGCTCTGGCCTTGGCTTCTGGCCGGACTTCATCTCCAGCTTCTTGTTCAGTTTCATCAGTTTGTTCATTGGGATCGTCTGGAGGTAGGGCATGTTCGTCCGACTCTTCCAGACTACTCGAATCTTCCTTTTTCTTTTCTTCTTCGACTGCGGACTTCGGTTGCTTCTTCGACAGCTGACGCTCCTGTGAGATGAGCGTTTCCAGGCGATGCAGACTTGTCTTGAACCGGGATGTGAAGGAAGTGGCTCCCTCATGTCCTTTCCGCTTCAACCCAAAAAGGAACTCATCTATGGCCTCGTGGAGCTCGGTCTCGGGCAAATAACGGTAATGCTGATCAAGCGTCCGAACAATTTGCAGCCAGCCTTGTTCACATCGAAGGTCAGCAATTGGAATGTTTTCGGTCGCTTTCCAAGCTTCGCCAGACAATCTTCCGAGGACTCGAGGACCGGCCAGGTGTGGTTGCTTGTCCTCAAGGGATGCAACACCAAGGATCAGCTTGCGTCTGAACTCACGATATCCGCTTGGCTTCCCATCGAAGTAGAGGTCTTTGAGAGTGTCTTTGTAGTCCATGGCTCAAACTGCCAACAACAAACAACAATGTTCCACAACCAACAATCAATGCTCAATGCTCAACAATCAACGTCAACTCAACCTTGCACCACTGCACAAGCAATGTACCTAGATGGCACGAGCTGCTCTGCGGTTTGCACCGCACCCGGGATCAGGCCGGGACCTCACAAAGCAATCCTGGAGCTTGGCAGCTCCGCTACCATGTAAAATGGTGAGCGGAGGATCAACAGCAACTTGTAAAGGCAACTGTCACAACTCAACCAACGGGGATCAAAGAACTCCGTCACGATCAAAAGCAAGCGGTACGCTCACTTTTCCATTGCGCAACCGTCGGGGGCTCGGATGAGCCAGACTCAAGGGCCCTTGTGCCAAAATGGTCACATGAGAGGGCCGCCATCTCATATCATGATATGCATGTTCCAATGCATACAAATTCACAATATGTGTGTATACGTGAAGCCAGAGAAGCCTCCTGCCCGGATGTATTGTGGTTTTGAATGCGACTGTGGTGATCTAGCTATCCACGAACTTGGAGAGTGTCTCCTCCTTCGCCAGGATGTGCAGAGACGAGTTCAGCCTAATTCGTTGGGCACTTGCTCCTGTCAGTGAGGGGTTCCGTTGTTCCATCGCGCAAGACGAGTGGCCGCGACTGGATTGAAATCTGGAATCTCAATCGAGCGGAGCCTTTATCCACTTGAACCAGAACTGCGACTGTGCTAGAACACCTGAAAGAGGCGTCTATTGTTCCTTGTTCTAGACTATTTTCATAAGAGGGCTGAGGGATTTGCATTCAGGGTGAGATGTGTGAGAACAGACATCCAGGTCTTCCACACAGCTGGAACAGATCCTCGGCCGGCTGAGGGGGCGCCCTTGCGCCGGAGAAGGATGGTCCGGGTGCCCGAGCTGCGAGCTGTGGTCTTTTGGCAGCTCGAAAAGACTGGTTCTTTTCGCCCACGGAAAAGTTTCTATTTTTCTCCCTCAGTTCTCACTGTACATGCCAAAATGACCAACATTGGCTGCGGTTTTGCTGTTTTCCCTGGAGGTGTTCCATGTCGAGGTGTACAGGCCCAACTGGTGCGAACACCATGGGTTTCATAAGCTTGCTTTCGTTCTTCGTGCAGCTTCTGTTGCCCAAATGGAGAACTTTTGAGCCAGGCATGAAGACAGCTTGCAAATGCATTTCATGATTGATTCCTGGTCGTTGTTGTTTGGTCTGTGAACCATTATTCAGTTTCTGACTCACAGAAGTCACAGAAACAAGTACAAAGGTTGCCCACTGACAACATCTCGTCCGGACCCTGACGCGATGGTGCGACCCTTCGGATCATTCGAGGCAGTCGCCCTGGAAGAGATGTGGTTTGTTGGAACTTTTGTCATGGCAGAGGTGTGAGTTTATTCGGTGACTCTGTGTCCCTGTGTTGGGACAGATGGAAGTTCATTCTTTCTTCAGTGCAAACCAATTTCCTTCAAATGGGACAGAATCGACGTGCGTATTTGTTCAATCTATACGGCTGGATGTCATGGTTTGTTTCAAAAGTGCTCCTCCCTTTGAATCGGGTGTTCTGTCTTCGTTCTTTGGGTGCCATTGCAATCGAATGACATGCTAGCTGGCGCAGGCGCAGACTGCCACTTGGCTGCAGCCTTTATATAAATGGCTCTGCTGTGTAGAGGTGGTAAAGGCTTCTTGCAAAGGCCACATTTGAGGTTGTTCATCTAGCCGAGTAAGCTGCAAATGATCAGGCGTTTGCTTGCTCCAATTGCAGTGCTGCAGCCATTTCAGCCATTTTCATTGACTGCGGGCGCCCTCAGCCATGAACACCCAGCAAATCGGAGTTTTTCTCCTGCTTTTATCCATAAGTGGTGCAGCAGAGGCAGTGTGCTTTGTTGGCTGAAACAGCTTGAAGATGGGAGAGATCTAGCTGGATTCAGAGTCAAACCTTTACATCAATAGTCTTCGACTTCCATTTTGTAGAGCTCGTAGTCTTCGAGGGACTAGGACGTGGGAGGAAGGATTGGCAGACTTGGGAACAGTATCCTTCGCCCAGTTGATGGACCCAGTCAGCACGTGCAGTACGACTGCAGGTGCCAAAAGAGTCCGTGACCTTCTCTTTGCACGACTACAATGATCTTTACAGTTGCCTGGCTTAAATAGGAGCAAGGACGCTACTAGGGGCTCCTGGCATCGCTACTAGGAGCAAGGACGCTACTAGGGGTTGAAACGGTTTTTCAACCCTAAGAGTTGGACGCAAAACCGCGACACTGAAAACATGCACAGCTTTGTGGTGCGGCGGTGCGTATTGCACAAGATGACTGTAGCGACCAACAATGCGCAAACTAAATGCATGACACCTCCTACAAACACCATTAGGCGAGTGTGTTGCCATCAGCATGAACATATCCCAGGAATCTTCAGGTAATAGATGTCTCAAGAGCCTCAGCATCCCTCTGACTTTGCGGTCTAGCTGCATGCTTGCTGCAAACATCCCAACATTGGTACACTCTGCACGACTCACGACCTGACTCCTAAGAATTAACAAGGAACAAACCATTGGAAGAGACAAAACACCTATAGTGATCTCCGATGGCGGAGGCGATTTGTCCGGTCTAACCACATCTAACCACACTGACTCCACAGGTTTTGGTCGCACCGCGCCTGCCAGGACGGGCTGAGTTGAAGGACTTGCAGAGGCAAGTGGTTGATGAGAGAGCGGATCTGCAAAGAGAGAAGAAGGCGAGGACAAATCGAACCAACGCTTGGTTGGTGTTCATTTTGTTCGTGACAAATTGGTGTTTGGATTGCTTGGACAGCCGGGCTTTTATCTCTGCTCTAGACCCAGAAACTCGAACTCAGAGTGAGAAAGGGGCTACTTACCGATCTTCCCGTATCTTCCCTGATGCCAATGAGATGGATTTTGCTCGTGGCCAGCCGGGGGCACAGCCAGTTTTAAGAAGACCGGCTGGAAGACCCATGGAACTTCGTGGCGCTTCGCGCTTTCATCATCTTTCATCTCTCTAGGAACTGGAGGATCGCTACCTGAAACAGCAAAGAGCTCGAGTGGAACGACTGGAGGTGCGAGCGACAATCGCTGGGCTCTTCTCAGGCATGCATATTCGTACACGATGTACGAGACATTCCCATGTTTCTGGGCAAGACATGGGTCACATACAACATGCGTCGGTCAATTCAAAGGCATTGAGCTACTCTTTGCAGCCCATGTCGTGACACCCCAAACTAGAAGATTCCAAAGAGAGTCATTGGCGCTGAAGTTTCCTCAGTTGTGGCAACCACCAGGTGCTTCCACAGAATTGGCAGCTCCTCAGCCACAAAGCCGAAGGTAACCTGGCACACATAAAGTGGATGGCTTGATTTAAGTTGCAGCACCATCTCTGCTTCAGTATCTCCAGTCATTTCTCAAGTCTGGATGACCTTCTTGCCTGGAAGGAGAATGTCAATTGCAGCATGGGCAAGAGAGGGCTCCAGCAACTTACAATTTTACCATGGACTTTCGAATCTTCGAGAACCAATGGACAGCAACTTGGCAGCCAAATAACTACTTGGCAGAGCTTGTTCTTTTCGCTATCGAGCAACGAGCAGCAAGAACGAAACACCAACACCACACTATCTAGCTCTTCTAGATATGGAGTCCACGCCTGGTTTAGCAAGTTAGGGGATTGATTCTCAATCCAGCGGTCCCCGGAACGTACTTCTGATTCATTTTCCACGAAGCTTTCTTCGGTGTGATCCAGTGTGGCCGGACTAACTCCCGTGTCTCTGTGATCCATCATTTCTTTTGCAAGAAAACCCTGGAGATGCTGTGCTTTCACAGATTTTCCCACACTTGTCTTGTGAAACATGTGAAGTTTGGACACCATCCGAGATGCGTGCCACTCCACGACCCATCTTGTGAAACCCATTCATTGCCCCGACTCGGCGCTTTCACGCCGAACACGTCGGGGTGTCCGCAGGCGATTCGCCTCATCGATGCCCAGACGATCGTGACCGACTGGTCCATCCAACGACGTCCGGCGGTCTCCGCCGCGGAGTTGGAGTTGGTGACCTTGGGCCTTGACAGCTTTTTGACCGTGCAGCGACGGCCAGAGGCACGTGCTTGTTAAACATGTTGTGAAGGCGAACGAAGAGAATCCAGGTGTGGGTGATCAGTGTCTCCCGCTTTTGAGAAAGGTGCTAGGTGTCAAGGAAGTAGATATGAGGAACTTAGGAACCTGTCATGAATCGTGTCCTCGCCTAAGTTCAATGGCACGGACTTAGCAAGCATTGTCCTCATTGTCGTTTGATTCGGAATCACTCTCCCTCAACGTAAGATAGTCATTAGTACCTAACACTGCCTAGCACCATAGAACAAAACAGTTCACTCAAGAACTCCTGCACAATCTGCTCATGATGCTCGCGGAAGTTTCGGAGTGCTTGACATGAGATGTTGGCCCTACAATTCCACCCTGGCTCTTGTTTGTCGGTGAGGTTTCACGCATTGCCAGTCTTGAGGGATTGTTGTTGGAAAGTCTCTGACAAGTGGCAAGGCAAAAGAGTTCGCAGTAGTCGCAGCTGAAAGATATACTATACTGATGAATTGGTGCTTGCTTTTGGTGCGCTGTCATTTTTCTGGCCCAATTGATCTCAGTGTTCAGAAATGTTCTATTATTGTTTTATGACTCATGACGCAGAAAAACGGAGCTCCAATGGAAAGCGGGGTGGGGAAGGGTCTCAGTTTTGCAACCATAATTCAAGTTTCCGACTCACATTTTTGCTGACCTATTTCCATGTCCCAAGCATCAGTGTTTGCTTGGGAGGTGGAAGAGGCCGAGGCCTGGGAAGATCATACCCTGGTGACGAACGTCTCTGGTGTCTACAGGATTGGCATGTGGCTTTGGGCCAAGTCACCGCCAAAAGACCGAAACCTGCAAGTCCAGGATTTTTTGTTGCTGAAATAGATCTACGGTTCAGCGAAAAGTGGCTGGCACCTCGTTTTTTTGCAGCACGGTTGTGGGACGTCTCGCGACACCCGAAAGCGCTGGAAAAAACATCACCGCCCAGGAGGAACATGACACACATGATTGCTTTAGCGCTTTCGGGGTCCAAACATCCATGGGGAGCGACGCTACCAACGGAGCAAAGGGCATCGCTACTAGGAGCAAAGAAGCTATTAGGTTGAAGGCCATCGCTAGTAATTAGGTTGGAGGCCATTGCTATCAGGTTGGAGTTTATTCTTGGAATGGTGACAGGGCCCAACCTCGGGAACTTGCGCGGGATATATTCATTGGTCGCATCGCTGCGCAACATTTTCCCCGCAAAAGGTTGTTTGCCCTTCCAACCTCTAACATCCCGGTTTCGATAACAATTGGTTTAAACATGTTTAAACCTACCACACAAATTTGGGGCCAAATCAAGTGGAGCACTGTTCTTTTAGGGATGGCCACCTATGAACACCAACCAATTTGAACTACCCATGGTTGGACTTCTAGCTTGGCAGGATTTCTTTCCGAGCCCATTCACAAGTGCGCAGCAATCGACAACTGCAGACGTTGCAGCTGAATCTTCTACACCCCATTACAGAGACTTGGCATCAAACAGAAAACACGCATCTTGTGCTGACCGGTAGTGGTACATCATTTTGGGCCTCAGCCAGGGAGCAAGGTGTGTCTCAGGGATAGGAGTTGCATGTAGAGGGAACACAGCAGTCAACCCTCTCATTTGCGCGAAAGAATTTCCTTGTGTGTTCGATCAAATCCTAATCAAGAGGTTTTTGATAGGACTTTTGGTCCTTTTTCTATCATGTAGTCGACCACCATATTGTTTCGTCTTGCTACCTTGCGAACTGCAACCTATCATCCGACCAGACGGCAGAGTTATGACTGTGTTTGATAGCTGC